TCCCCTGCGACTATGGTCCCAAGCCCGCAGGATCAACTACTCGGTCCCTCTGGGTAGCTGGCTGTGACCAAGCAATGACCATAACCTTGCCCCTTGTAATATGACTATTTTTATATAATATATTCCTACCCATTAAAATGGCCTGCAGTTTCATGAGTTTATTCTCCCCCCACCCCCAGCTATTCATCAAAAACTGGAAGCAGATGGAACAGAAAAAGTAGAAGGATCCATGACGCAGAAACTGGAGAATGTTCTGAACAGTAAGTTTTGTCCTATCACCCTAAACTATTCATGACTTTAAAACAAGCTTTAATAGAGCAGTTGGGCCTGATTTCACATAACAAGGTGGTAGGTTGTATCTTAGTAATTATTTCTAAATATTTAATGAATGTAAAGGGGAAACAACATTGAAAGTGAATGTTCTGTTTCTATTTACATTTTATTTATGAGAAATTATAATTTGAAAAGAAGCCAATATACTTCCTGCAAAGTTAAGCTTGCTGCCATAAAATAGGCCATTATATAAATAGCATCAAAGATAGAAAAGCACCAAGGCAGATGCCAGGATTGCCATTGACTGAAACCCTGAAAAAGATTATCTCCAAGTATCTACCTGTGTTAATGCATATAACACCATCTGGAAAAGTGACAGATAATTACATGTCATTTATTTATTTATACCTTGCTTTTTCCAAAAAAGGATTTAAGGCAACTGTATCTTTAAGAGTGTGTCCAACTCTGTGACTTATTGTAAAAATTGTAGGCTCAGGAGAAACTGATAAATGCAAACTTTTGGGTCCCTTCCCACCTCCCTTTTTACCCTTTTTCTGACATCCTGCCTTCTAAGTGGGAGCTACTTATCCTACTGATTGGGCAGAATCTCCTCAGATGAATTAATTCTTATTTGAGTATCAATGGCTTAAAGATACATTATCCTCATCATATAGTTTTTGAATCTATAGACTCATGTCTTTTAATATGGAGCAAGAATGTGATGGGAAAACTCCTTGTTTTTAAATCTAAATATATCATATGATTTCCCCCATGAAGTACAGTCAAGAATAACTAAGAAATTTAAGAAACTTCATGTCACATGCTTAGTGGCTCTATGAACACAGGACTATGATATCAAGTTAGTTTTGTACTTCCAGCTTAACTTAATTTAGTCTCAAAGGCAGAAGTTTCTGAGCCCTGTATAAATATCTGTCCACAAGTCAGGAGATTTCTGATAAGACATATCTTTTAGAAAAAAAGCATTACTTTGCTGTAAGTTTTTCTTTATACAAGAATTTGAGTACTTAGATTTCATTCTAAATTTATGACTTTTACCAGAACTTAAATTCCCCCTTTATTATTATTATTATTAGCCTTGAGATTTTGCCTTGTTTTTGTCTGTGAAAACCAAGTCACTAACTTGTTGAAATGAGTATCTTCTGAATTCAATCCAAGTTCATATTTATTAAAGCCATTTCTATGTTAGTATAGTCTTGGAAGGATTGTTTTTCCTCAGGGATGTTATTTTCACTACAGAAGTTGTCATCAAACCACGATATTTCTACAAAGCAAAAAGAAAACAATTATATTAGTAACTTTTAAAAGATGACTGTAAGAACAGGTTGATATAATAAATACACCATTGTATCAGAAGGAAAAATATGATATTCATTAAAGTATTCCAATATTCATTGGAAACAGTTAAAGCCTGTTTCATATGTCAAGGTTAGCACAGTATCTTAATATCCCTTTTTTTTTCCTTCTTAAGGAATAATTTAGGAGCTAATTCACTCTGGATTTATGGTATAAAAATTATAAGGGAAGCTGTTTTACTTACATTCCTTTATAACCATGAATTTGTGCTATAAATGTGTTACATTAATATTCATTGATGTTTGCTCCTTTTGGAGAAAATTGGGCTCAACATGTAAATATTTCTCCTAAAATATTTTCCTTTATAATAATTCTTTATATTCCCCAGAAAAATCCTTTATCAACATGATGTTGATATTTGCTGTCTTGGGATAAGGTTTTAAATTTAAATTCAGGTGAACTTTACAAGCATTTAACACTTCCTGTGTTTAAGTCCTGTGCTAGATTGTATGTGGGATATGAAGTTGGGAGATATGTTTTTCCACCTTCCAGAGTTTCTGCCCACCAGATCGATGTTTTATATTTATTCAGGACCTAAATAACTACGTAAGTGGCTAAAAAAGCATAGGGAATTAAAATTAGAAAACATCGAAAGCCCCCAAAAGATTAAATGAGCTACATATGGTCATTTAAGTAGCAAATGACAGAGCTGGGATTTATATGCAGAGATTTGACTCCAAAGTACAAGCTACAGGCTGTCCTTGCTGTGCAGGTTTCCGATGTGTACGAAGCTCATTACCATGGTTCAGTTAAGTAGCACCAGCCCCCCGACATGGTTCAGATTTCATTTTCCATGGTACGTTAGCCATGATTGTACAGTGTGCAGACCTTGCTGCCAGTTCTTCAGTCCACAGATCATGCCATAATAACAGATGCACATCAAGGTCAGTGATCAGCTGTACCCCTTCCTTCAAAGTCTGAGGCAATGGATCCCTGCATGTCTGTTACCAGTTCATGCAGACATGGTCAATAAGGCATGTGATTTTTTGTCTCTTTGTTTTGCAGTGATAAAACCATGTGACATTTTATAAAAATGGGTAATTGAAACAGGTAATTGGTCCACAAAGATGAAAGCACATCAAAAAAATCAGAAGTGATCAAACTGTCAGTGAATCAAACTGAACCTAAATGGAGTTACAGAAGAAATAGCTGACTGTGGGAATGTGGACAGTGCTGTTGTTCTAGAGACTATGGGTGTGCATCCAGAGGGATTTCTTGAAGGGGATTTAGCCAGAGAAATGCAGAAAGTGGCTGTGATTTAAAGGATGAAGGTGTCCTAGAAGAAGGGATGCCAGCAAAAAACTTCACTTCAAAGGAGCTCTTAGAGATACTTCATGACTTTGAAAGTGTAAAGGATACAATGTTAGAAGTTGATCCAAGCTTAGGAAGGAATATAACAGTTTGCTAAGGCATAGAAGCTATGCTCACTCATATCCTAAGCTTTATGATAAAAAGAAAAGGCAAATGCTCTTGATATTTTTTTTTTTAACAAACAAAACACTGAATTTTCAGTGGTTCTAATGTTTTAAATTATAGTGTACTAAATAAAAATTCATTTCAGTATTTTAAAAATTTTCTATTTATAATAAAAAACAAGTTTTCAATGTTTCAACAAAATTTTTTTAATGTCATGGAACAATCATAATTCTTTCCATCGATTATTAAACTACTCTGCTCAGTTTCAACTTGCACAGCTATTTTTTTGGCCCCTCCCTACCACGCAGAGTGAGGCCAGCCAGGGTTATACTATATATTCTCTAAGTAGGAAGAATATTGACCATTTGATGCAAAATAGTGCATTTATTGAGCACATGCTCATTCTGTCCCAGGAATATAAAGATAAAACTTGCTGTTGCCCTTCTAAGACTTTATGGCCTAGTGGAAGATACAGACCAATAAGCAGGTGATTTAGGTTATAGTAAGATGATACTGTGCTAGTGGTAATCCTGGGATGCATCTGGAGCAAGCATAGCGGCACCTGACTGAAAAGTAGACTGAGGACAATTTTAGGGAAGCATGGCAGCAGCCTTTTAAGGGGGCAGGAAGTAGCCAGGCAAGCAAGAGTTGATGAGTAGATTGCTAAGTAGATACAGGTGTGTTTAGTCGGGGCATGCAGCAATATCAGGAAGTCACCATGTTAAAGAAGAGGCAGGCCACATCTCAGGTGCTATCATCCAGTGTGGCTAGTGTGCAGAAGTGATTGGTGAGACTACAAGGGAGATGAGAGCATTCATGATCTGCTTTTATGTAGTGCTGTAGAGTTTGTCTTTATCCAAAAGACAAATGTGACTCATGGAGGAATTCTAATAAGAGAACAACATTATGAAAATTTTAAGGAACATTTACCAGCTGTGTAGAGAATGGATTAGAAGGGTGCTAGCCTAGACTCAAGAAGTAAGACCAAATAGAATTGTGTTGTAAGATGTTATGTGATGTAAGAGTAGAAATGTGAAGACTTTGAACCAAAACAGAAGTGGTTAAGATAGAGTGAAAGATAAGAGATGTTAAGGAGGTAAGATAGGCAATGCTTGCCCAATGGATTGTTGTGGGAAGTAAGAAAAAGGAAGTAGATGATTATGACTTCCAAATTTCTGGTCTCAAGCAGAGGAAGAGGAGGAAATTCAGTTGAATTTATGACATACAGAGTTTGAGATTTCTGAGGATCATACAAATTAATTTCTTTGTAGATCTCACCATATCCTAGCTGTGTGTCATTAGGCAAGTAGAATAAACTCTCTGTGTTTGAGTTGTCTCTGCTATAAAATGGAGCATAGTACCAATCTTATGTCTTACAGGATCATAAACAAGTTTAAATGAATTAATACATATAAAGTTTTTAGAAGAGCACCAAGCATAGAGTAAATGCTCACTATATTAGCTGTCATTATTATATGTCTGTTGTTGTTGTTGTTATGTGCCGTTGAGTCAGATCCAACTCATAGCAACCCCTCCTTGGATTTCCAAGGCAGTATCACTATGGAAGTAGATGGCTCAACCTTCCTTTCGAGGAGTGACTGGTGGGTTTGAACCAGTAGCCTTCTGTTTAGCAGTCAAGTGCCTCAGGCACTGCGCTACCAGAGCTTCTATTGTATGTCTAGTAAACATAAATTTAAAGATTAGTCTTAAGCTAACAGGCATATCTTGAGATACAGATTTAGGAGTCACCAGCATAAGATTTGTCAGGGATTTCCTTTCACTTGGATCCACAATCACTGTCCATGGAAGCAGCAGTCAGGAAATCAGATGATGTATTGCACTGGATAGTCTGCTGCAAAAGACCTCTTTGAAGTGTTAAAGAGCAAAGGTGTCACTTTGAAGACTAAGGCACAACTGCCATGATATTTTCAGTCACTTCATATGTGTGTTGTAAAAGCTGGACAGTGAATAAGGAAGATTAATGAAAAATTGATGGATTTGAATTGTGGTGTTGGCAAAGAATACTGAAAATACCATGGACTGCCAGAAGAACAAATAAATCTGTCTTGGAAAAAGTACAGCATTTGTTTTGGAAGAAGTATAGCTGGAATACTCCGTACAAGCAAGAATGGCCAGACTTCATCTTAAGTACTTTGGTCATGGTGTCAGAAGGGACCAGTCCCTGGAGAACAATACCATTTTTGGCAAAGTAGAGTGTTGGTGAAGAAGGGGAAGACCCTCAATGAGATGGACTGACATATTGGCTGCAATGATGGGCTCAAATATAGCAAAGATTATGAGGATGGTGCAGGACCGGGCAGTGTTTCTGTTATACGTAGAGTCACTGTTGATTAGAGCCTATACATTGGCATGTAACAACAACAGCAGCATAGGGATGGTAGTTGAAGTAACAGGAGTAAATGATTTCACCCAAGTGCTGTGTTAAAATTAAAAGGAAAAAGCCTTTTCTTAGAAGATTTATAACACTAAGAATCTAAGAGTCCTATTTGTAAAAAATGAATTGGCTTCCTAAGCCTTAGTCAGTGGTGTACTGGTGAATACTTAATAAGCGGCACTCCCAAAAGAAAAAAGTAAAAACACCCCCTGGAAAAAGAAAAAGAAAGAGAAAAAAAAACACCCCACCTAAACCCTAATTTAGCATTTGCTAGTTTCCAAACTGTAAATATTCCTACTGTGGTTGATTTAAAACCAACTAGACACTGCAGAACCAAAGTTGGGAGGGATGCTAGCTGTGAGCTACTTGAGCACAACATGCACCTTTCTCATCCACAGAATTCCAGTTTTGTACACTTCATGTGGAGTTATAAAATTCCAGTATCAGAAATAGTATTGTAAACGAGTATTAAATATTGCTAATAGTTCTAGTAACATAATGAAATTATATTTGTTATAGATAGCAGTCATATTTTCTAGAATCTGTTAAGAAGAACTGAGGCCATCAAAGAAGGTGTTGGGTCTTTTTGTTGTCCTTGTTTTGCTATGCATTTAAGTAAACGTTTAAAGTTTTTTTATGCCCCTGTGTTTCATTTCCTAATCTTATTTAATTTGCTTGTCGTGGGATGAATTGTATTATCTGAAGTGTGTGTGTGTGTGTGTGGGGGGGTACTCTTTCCCTCCCCCATGCCCATCAAACACAGAGCACAAATTAAAAATCACTCTTGTGATCCACTGTCTCAAGTGTCAATACCTAGAAAAGGACCAATAAGCTCACTTGGAAATAGGGGAAAGTACAATGTTTATGTTAAATAAACACGCATGAAATTATAAGACACCATTATTACATGACTGAGCTTTTGTAGATAAAGATCTAGGACTTCCTGGCATAATTAAAATTTCTTTCTCTTTTGCTGCTTTTTGCAGTTAAGAATGTAAGATCAGTTGGCAGATCTGTGTTCTGTTGGTTAGTGTGTGCAGTGCCAACATACTCCTGTTTCCATCTTACATTGTAAAAAAATTCTATGCTATGGACCCTTTACAACTGTGGCAGCTGAGTATTGTTACCATGGCATCTCTGTTAGTTCTCAGGTCTGTTTGTGACTAAGGCTGTGATGGTCATTGTCAGAGAGCATGGTGTTAGGATCTGCCTAGAATGAGGATAAAGGCTGCAATTTCAGGTCTTGGGTCACCTAAGGCTGGTAAAACCTGTAAAGTGAAAGTTGTGGCTTTTATGACCATATGGTCCAATTAAATTTGTTGTGTGGTTGTGCTATACTCTCAAACCCCTGCCAGCTACTATAGACATGCATACTCTTGGTGTGAGGAAGACGAGTAAGGGTGTGAGTAGAGTAGTACACATGTGCGATCACTACTTAGAAGGACCCAGGGTGCCTGCTGATGGTGGAGAGCACCACTGTTGCTTGGTGATTTTCATTCCTCGTTCATGTCCCTAGAAAATACAGACATAAAGGGCATTTTGTGAGCTGCTGGTGATTTTTATCTGCCTGCATAAATCTTGGTTTCACTGCTCTTATTTATATTGTTACTGGATATAATCATCTAATTATATAAGAGTTTTGAACTCCCAAAATTTTATTGTGAATGCGATAAAATTCACAGCAGAATAATTTATATTATAAATTGTCTACTAATTAAAATTATAATAGCATGATTTCTCTATGCATAATTAAAATTTGCCATATATAAATATATACATTTCTGTATAAATAAATGAACATTGTGATTTTATATAATTTCTGTATGTAAATTATTCATTATAAATTTTTTATCTTTTGTTTAACTTTAAGTAGATTTTCTGTTTTTATGCCTTTAACGGAGATAAAGTGATTAATTGATACCAGTTTTTATTACCTGAAAATGAGAAAAATCTAATTCTGAACTCTTGCACTTTTTGCCCCAAATTCTTTCATTGTGCAAAAAAAATGTGCTTGGAGACTTATTGTCTAAAACCTTTTTAATTAGTAAGTATAATTATATAAGTAATTAACCTTTTAAAAAGTTCAGTCACATTCACATATCTCTTCATTTATAAAGCCTCAATTCATGAAATTTATGTTTTTCAAATGATAAATATTTTAAAACTTTCTTTGAACAAAACGTTTTAACCCTAATCAGATATCAAATAATCATTTACCCATCATTATGTACTCTGGTGGCAAGAAGGGAATAATTTTTTTTCCCTCATCTTTTAATAGAAATTCAGTTTTCTACATTAAATAGCATGTGGTGAAAACAACTATCTTGACAAAGCAAAGTTTTTGTATCAAGCCTTTAAAAGTTCAACAGAATTCAAACATTATTTAGATAAAGCAATTATTTTACAAAGACGACTTTTAACATGGTCAGGCCACCCACAGTGCTGACTAGAGAATATGGCATGCAGCCACCCAGTGAGACCGACGTAATTTTTTCATCTTTGCTTAAAGTATAGTCACTAGACCAGATAATGTAGAAACTTTACAAGGAGCCATCAAACAGCCAAGCACAGTTTATCCTTTTTCTCCTCTTTCCTTATTGCTAATTAAAAATAATTCACAAAGTGAAAATGGTGAACTATTTTTTTTGTCACAGTACATTTTGCTTTAGATAAAGCAGTTCTTTCATTACACTGATTCGTATAGTTTGAGGTCTTTTTAGGTGAAAGAATTATGAAATGTTCAATTCATATATAACCTTATAAATGATTTTAAAAATACGTGATATGTTAGTCTATCATTTTAAATTTCTTTATGTAATTTTCTGTGCCTTCTATATAAAATAGATAATTCTACCAAGATAATTTACTAAGAATTCATTTTAAAATAATGTCTTTTGAACAACATTTTGAAAAATATTTTTCTTGTTTTATTTATCATATATAGATACTGAATCCATGGTGTTTAACTAGTGTAGTGTAGTGTGTGTGTGTTTGTGTGTGTGTTAAGCTGTTGTCTGAATTAATGAAATAACCTAAGGGCTTATAATTGGTATAAAATTTAGAAGAATAATTAATTTTCTGTATGGTAATATTAGAGAATTTATTTGAGCATGGTAAATATGATTGGATACTATTCTTAACATATGAAAAGACTTAGCAGGCAAAATAGAAATGATGTTGTAGCACACCATAAAAGATCTCAGTATACCTAACTATTAAAAGATAGTCTATTAAGTTTTAATGTAAAACTACAATATCCTAACATTTTGTTTCCAGTACCCAGTTTTATGTTTTCTGACTAAAGTTAGCCTTTATCCAGGTTTCTTTTTTCATTTTAAAATAGGAGCAAGTAATACTGCAGATACATTATTTCAAGAAGTATTAGGTCGAAAGGACAAGGCTGATTCCACTAGAAATGCACTCAATGTGCTCCAGCGATTTAAGTTTCTTTTCAACCTTCCTCTAAATATTGAAAGGAATATTCTAAAGGTAAAGTATATATTTATGTTCCTATGGTTATAGATGTCATAAATTTAAAGATTTGTTAAGATGTTTGTTATCTTAACCAAATGTCTTTATGTCATTATGCTTTACTGACAGTCTCTAAAATGTTTCTTGATTTTAAAGGGTGATTATGATGTGGTTATTAATGATTATGAAAAGGCCAAGTCACTCTTTGGGAAAACGGAGGTGCAAGTTTTCAAGAAATGTAAGATTTGTTTATTACTTCTAAATTTTCTAGTTTCAGAGGACAGATGTGGAATTTATTCTGCAGAGAATGTTGCATGATTTTAATTGCTGTTTATATGATGTTCTCTTTAAAGTGTAAAATAATTACTTCAAAAAATAACTTGCTGACTTTTCTACTGAGATGTAGTGGAAATGAGCTACTGCATTCATAGCTGAGCCTCGGCCATTGTTAACCACCGTTAAAAATCTTTCTTTTACTGGAAAGATTAAATTACAGATATTTTATAGAGATGGAAACCTACATTTCAGTCTTCCCTCTTCAGAAAAACATGTTTAAAAATTCCAACCTGAAGTTAAAGCAAACTAAACAACTTTTGAAATTACCTCTGATGCCAGAGTCATAGAAAATAGGAGAATCTTTAAAATGCCATAGGGTATAAAGCCTTATCAACTAGGAGAAGTATCACAGGACTTTATTAAATTCATAAATGAAATCCATAAGGACTTAGAAAACTTAATTTTATTTTTTAATTGTGATAAAATTTACATGCAGTGAAACGCACAGACCTTACAAGTTACAGGTCAATGAGTTTTGACAAATGCATACAACCATGTAATGCACACCCTGGCAAGATACAGAATATTTTCATCACCTCAGAAAGTTCCCTTGTATCCCTTCTCAGTCAAGCGCTGCACCCTTCTAAGGCAACTACTGTTCCATGATTTGATTTTAAGTTTCCATTCTGTAAACCTTGTATATTTTTTCCTTTTAAACTAGATTATGCTGAAGTAGAAACACGAATTGAAGCTTTAAGAGAATTACTTCTGGATAAATTGCTTGAGACACCATCAACCTTACATGATCAAAAACGTTATATAAGGTAAACCTTCTGCCAGTACTTTGATAGATCATGTATACTGGACCATACTGGATACATCACCCAACTCTTAAAGCTAATTTGGGAGAAACAAGGAGACTGGCTGATAAAATGGAAATATAAAAATGAAAAATAATAGCATAAATTTAGGTGTATCTGATATAGGAGACCAAAATGTTTTTGCATGGTAAATGATATAGTTTAGTTGTAGAATATTCACTTTTTAAGGGTAAGAATATCCTGACAGTATGGTGAAAGGAAAGTACCCTCATTGCTTCGTCACTGCTTCTTCCTGTGAGAAGTGGCTACCAGACTTCCTTAGTGGTGTGGCACCCCAGATCATGAAGGGCACTGTGGGGGTGGGGAGCTCCCTGTAGGGCAGAGTACTGACGCACATTGGATGGGGTCATCAGACCATAAAAGTGTGTGAGGCTTGCAGTAGAGGAGACTATAGAAGGTTCTAGCATTGAACAGGATAATATCTGATTTTCAAGTCTTTAGTGATCAGTGAAAGAAAAAGTTACTACATAGGAATATTTAAAAACCTAAAAGCAGTACTATTTAAAAATATGGGCATCCAGAGTGTGGGGAGATAGCCTTCAAAGGAAGCAGTATAGCGTAACAGGTACCATGCTGTTGACATTGGATGGCTTACTTCTATTCTTCAGTTTCTTCATCTGCAAAATGATATAGTTCATATCAAGATTTGGGGAAAATTAAAGCATATAAACATTTTTATATCTATAATTAAAAAACATTACATTTATTTTCTGTTGGAATATTTTAGTGAGGGCTTTGTTCTCAGAATAGGATACTATTTTCCAAACTTAATGGCTTCCCACTTTCTACTAAATGGACTCCCGATTAGGACTTACTGAATGTTCAATAGTTATAAAATTATAATAGCCTTTGTATGCTTTGGGAGCTCTGGTGGCATAGTGCCTAAGGTGTTTTACTGCTAACTGGAAGACTGGAGGTTCAAACCCACCAGCCACTCCTCTGAAGGAAGATTGGGTAATCTACTTCTGTAGTGATACGGCCTCGGAAACCCAAGGAGCGGTTGCTGTGAGTTGGCTCTGACTCAACAGCAGTGAGTTTTTTTTTTTTTTTTTTTTTTAATGTGTGCTTTGGCTGTGGCCACCATGTGACTGTTGGAAATATTTTTCGGAATGGGAGAGGATTTGACTATGAGCACCTGCTGCCTTTGTAGTATGGAGGGACAGCAGGGGCTTACCTCAGACCTCTATTCCTGGTGACGCTGGGGCATGGAGCCTGAGCACATTGGTGTTGCTGAGGAAAGCAGAAAGCCCTTTAGCAGTGACATAAAGAGCAATGACAGTGACCATCACAGCCATCACTCAGTATCTGCACATCATCTCTGATCCTAACAACAGCCACGAGAGGGCAGTTGTATTATGTCCATTGTACAAGTGAGGAAACTGAACTTCAGGCCTTATCGGTTCCTCAGAACGCACAGATAGGTGTGGGATTTATGTTTGTCTGGTTTCAAAGCCTACTCCTCCTTTTCTGTAAGCTGCCTCCATAGTAAAGTATATATTTAGGGCTTGTAGAATCATAGGCATTTAAAGCTGGAAAAAATTACATGTTAGTTATTCAACTGCTTTGTTTTATATTTAAAGAAACAGAGTAAGAGAGGCTAATTATCTTGTCCCGGATAAACAGCTGGTTAAATATTACCGGCTCCGATTCTTGTTCTTTCTGTTCTGCTGTGCTACCTCACTAACTGTGGTTTATATTTGTAAACCAGCTTGTCTTTGTTGTATTAAATTTGCCTATAATTACTGAGTAAATAACTTCATGCAGTGAATAACAATCTATATAGTTAACTAAAGTGCGGTTCTTAAGGCAAGTTACCTCACTGGGTAGCATTTAAAATATGCTAAGGTTCAGACCCCCCAGCCACTCTTTGGAAAGAAGTCTGGGCAATATACTTCCATAGAGATACTGCCCATGGAGGGGTTGCTATGAGTCGAATTGACTCTGTGGCAGTGAATGTGTGTGTGTGTGTGTGTGTGTGTGAAGTGTCAAAACCATGGCATTTAAATGGGCTATATAAATGCCTTTCCCCCTCATTTTAACAAGGAAAGAATAAGGTCAACAGTAGTTTACTTATTTTTTATCATTCAGTTTCTACTCCTGACTTTTAGAAGACATTCAGCAGTTCTTTTATCTTTTTTTAATTTAAATATTTAGGCATTAATAAATAGGCAGTATAATATCAAAATGAGGTCAAATATCTTTGGACTTTGATAAGTACTATGAGAGCATCTAGTGGTAGATTTGCCTTGATCATCAACAGAAAATACATCTGTATTAGCTTTCCTGTAGAATCTAAGTTATGCATAGTATTGAATGAAAGTCAGCTGTATCAGTGTTGTCTTACTTTAGTTCTATATTTTATCTCATTAAAAGTTTATTATTTCCATTCTCTTTGTTTTATTTTGATGCCAGTCGGCTACTTACGAGTAAGTATGTATAAAAGAAGCCAAAGTTGCATGCTCCTCTCCATGTCAGTGTGATCTGATAGCTGGTGATTGTTAAAATTACATCAGAATATGGCTGAACTTTAATTCTTAAATTTTAAAATATTGAGCCTGTGCTTACCATAATTAGCATTCTTTACCTTCTTTCCCCTCTAACAAAAGCCTTTTTAAAAAATCTTCTTTCATATGCAATTTTAAAAAAAAACATAGCAAGAACATGTATCACATTCTAAACAATGATCTTGAAATCAAACTACTACTTATTTTTAAGCTATACACTAAAAGAAAAGGAGAAGCTTACTGAATTAAGTCATTTAACTAAAGTAAAGCCTAGCCCAAATAGTTGTACCTTTTAACTGAAAAATATAGAATTTCTGAAAGAACAACTTTTTTTTCTGTATGCATCTCTCTTGATTTAATACCCATTAATAAGATGATAAAAAGAGGACTGTTAAGAGCCTTACAAGTTACTAAGCCAAAAATTTATGACTTTTGTTATTAATTTCAAACCTAGGCTTGGTTATTTGAGTGAAGGTGTTAGGAAAAAGTATTGCAGAAGTATTTGGAGACAAATCAAGTCTATGGAAGGCAAAGGTGAAACAAAGTCTTCCCAGCAAGCATAAAAATAAAATTACATGTTCTTTGTGACATGATGTGCTATTTGTCATATTTATATTCCAGACGGTAAAAGAAGAAAGCCTAGTGTGAGAGGAGGAATCAGATTGGAATTTGAAAACTTTGAAATAAATTCCCTATGTTAGGCTACATTTAATTTGTTAGATTTCATTCTCAGGTTGCTGTCCTTGTATATGCAGGGGAATCCTAGGTGACTTCTTAATATGAGTAAAGTTCTTCTTTCTAATTGAGTTGTTGCTTTTTCAATACAGAAACACAACTTGTTTGCAAACTGTCGATAGACCATGGCAGGGAGGAGGATGAAGACCCACTCTAGGCACTGCCCCTGGACACTCTTGGGCAGTTTGAGTCAAGCTAATTAGTAGCCATTTTGCAGGGGATCAGATGCCTAGCTTCCCTCAGAAATCAGACTGTCTCCATTACTGACTTATGAAGGATCTCTCCTTAATACTTTATTAGTAGCTAATATATTACAAAAGGAGCTCTGGTGGCACAGTACCTAAGGCATTTTGCTAACCAGAGGGCTGGTGGTTCAAAACCACCTTCTGAGGAATGAAGATGGGGCAATCTACTTTGGTAAAGATTTACCACTTTGGAAACCCAGTGGTCACTATGTGTCAGAATCAACTTGGTGACAAAATGGATTTCTTTTTCCTGTAATTAGCACTAATTGAAACGTCTGTGAGTAAATGAAATATTCATTACTGGAGCCATGTGGGAAAGAAGAATCAAATATGACCCTGAGTGATTAATATTTGAATGGAAGTCACAGCTTGTAACCATTAATTAAAATTTGTCTTTGAATAAAAATCTTTAACTGAAGACAGTGGCAAGGTTATTGGTTAACAAACAATGCTTTTAAGACAATAAATTCATCTGGATATACTTTTGGAGTTGATTTAATTGAGTTTAACTTGTTAGATAGATTTATGTATTTTATGAGGACCAAGGGCCAAATGTTGAATATTTGACAGAATTTTTTTAATTGAAATGTATTTTAAGATTTATATGGCTTTGGGTTTTTATGTACAAAGACTATTTTAGGAACTATTTTTAAATGAAGAATAGTGCCCATTTATACTATACTTTCTAGATAACTGTTTTCTCAAATAGTCATAAATTACAGTTTAGATTTTACAGGTAAGTTTGTCATCACCAGATCTCTTCATGTAGGAAGACCTTCAGTTACAGTTAAGGAACACTGGTGCACAGTTGTTAGCCCTTGACTGCTAACTAAAAGCTCAGTGTTTCAGACCCACTAGACCCTTTTGGAACCCACCAGCCCCTTTTTGGAGGAAAAGATGAGACAGTCTACTTCTTTAAAGATTTATAGCCTTGGAAACCCTATGAGGCAGTTCTACTCTGTCCTACAGGGTCCCTATGAGTCCTAATTAACTCCATGGTCATTGTTGTTAGGTGCTGTCGAGTTGTCTCCGACACAGAGACCTCCTTTTGTAAGACAGAACGAAACACTGCCTAGTCTTGTGCCAGCCTCATGATACCTGCTATACCTGAGCCCATTGTTGTAGCCACTGTGTCAAACTATCCTGTTAAGGGCCTTCCCCTTTTCCTTTGACCTTCCACTTTACCAAGCATGATAACCTTCTTCAGAGAATGGTCCCTTCTGACAACATGACCAAAGTAGGTAAGACAAATTCTGGCCATTCTTACTTCTAAGGAGCATTCCAGCTGCACCTCCTCCAGGACAGAGTTGTTAGTTCTTTTAGCAGCCCATGGTACTCAGTATTCTTTGCTAACACCATATGGTAATAGGTTGGATTTTTGGTTAAATTTTAGTTACTCTATGGCTAGATTTCGGAGGGAAGGTTGGGCAATCTACTTTGGTAGAGATACTGCCTCAGAAACCCAAGGAGGGGTCTCAATGAGTTGCATCCAACTGGAAGGCAGTAAGTTTGATTTGAAGAACTAGATTATCATAGAAAACAGTGTCACACTGCCATCTAGTGGCCATATTTCATACTAGAAAAGCATTTAAAAACAAAACAAAAAAAAGGCTGGGGTGGGGATCCTTTGTTGTTTCCCACCTGTGTTTTACATAGTGACTTCTGAGGAATATGGGACAATCTACTTCCACAGTGATAGTGCCTCGGAAACCCAAGGAGGGGTTGCTATGAGTCGGGTCTGACTTGGCGGCACATAACAACAACAACAAGTGGAAACATTGCAGACTAACCTTAAATATAAAGTTTGCACTCAGTAGATAGGATCATTGCAAGTTATCTTTGTCTTCCTGGTTATTTTTCTAGAAAGTCTTTTACCTTTTTTTAAATACAATTTATTATTATTTGTTAATTATGTGAAAATAAATTTGAATATATTTCATTGAAATCTAAAGGCTAGTATTGACAAATGCTTTACTTAATTATAAAATTGTAGATTTTCTTAATATAAACTCTTAATGATTTAAAAATATGCTAGCTCTTCCTTTTAGCCTCATTTAAAGCTGTCAGTCTTGGTCTTATTTTTCAGGTACCTGTCTGACCTTCATGCCCCTGGTGACCCTGCTTGGCAATGTATTGGAGCCCAGCACAAGTGGATCCTTCAGCTCATGCACAGTTGCAAAGAGGGCTATATAAAAGACCTGAAAGGTAAGGCATCTTCTCTTCCAGCTTATCATGCTGTTCTTTAATTTACTTTATTACTTTATCAATAGTTGGCACAGCTGGATTATAAAGGAAATGATTACATGATATCTGTACCTGTGTTCTTCTTCTTCTTTGGTACAGCTGGCTAGCATTATACCTACAAGTGAGCAACAGAATAGGGAAGAATGCTCTTTAGCAGTATTGACAAACATTTGTTTCAGGGAACTGCTAAAATTTTGGGGGAGGCAGCATGATGTTGTAGAAATGATATTAGTCTTTAAGGTTATTTTTCCATTACTTCACCCAATATATATTGAGTCCATGCTATATACCAAGCAATATGCCAAGTACTAGATAATCAGTGGTGAGTAAAACAGCCATGACCCTTGCCCTCACAGGCTTCCTCTGTAGTAGGAGAGAAAGATGTTAAATATTTAACTAACAAAATAAAAACTGTGATAAGTGATGTGAAGAAAAATAATAATATTGTTTAGAAGAATAAGTGTGGAGAATGTTTCAGATAACTAGTTTGGGAAGATGTCTCAAAGAAGTCCACATGTTATGAAGAACTGGAAGAATGGGAAGTAGCTTGCCAGGCAGCCTGGAAAAGGCAACAGCTTCAACAGGGCAAAGGCCCTGAAGAAATTTAAAGAAAGAAATCACAGCTGCATTGGAATATGGGCTTATCAACTTTAATTTTTACAGTTTTATCATTCAACAAAAGGAACTATAGTGGTGCAGTGGTTAAGGCATTTGGCTGCTAACCAAAAGGTTGGGGGTTCAAACCCACCAGCTGCTCTATGGAAGAAAATTGAAGCAGTCTGCTTCTGTAAGATTTACAGCCTTAGAAACCCTTTGGGGTTGCTATGATTCGGAATCAACGTGGTGGCAGTGAGTCTGGTTTTTTGTTTTGGTCATTTAACAAAGATTGAATGCCTACTCTGTGCCAAACACTGTTGGGTGCTAAGAACATGGTAGTAAACACAGTGTACGAGGCCTTTGCTCAGAAGAAGCTTGCAAAATTGTGGAGGAAATAAACAGGTAAGCTGACTATTAGAGTACTGCCTTCTAAGACTGGAAATGAGCAACATGCTGTGGTGGCAATTAGAACGCATCTGATCAGATTTTTGAGGCTAAGAGGTGACGTTCTGAGATGTAAAGGAAGTGGCATCTATTTTAAGATCTGAAGGATATCTGTGTTAACCAGACATCAAGGAAGGAGGAAGGCAACAGTTAAATACCATTCCAGGGACAGAGACTAGACACATACAGGGCTTCAAGCAAGAGGAAGTATGGTGAATTCTTCTGTATAGCTGGAGCTCAGAATGTGATCAAAGTGGTGAGAGTCAAGGTCGGAGTTAAGTAGGGACAGGTAAGGAAGGAATTTAGCCATTTTATAGAGATTGGACTGTAATAAGGGAACCATTAAAAGATATTAACCAAGGGAAAGACACGATCATACTTACTTTTTCAATGACCATTCTAGCTTCCATGTGGTGAGTGGGTTAGAGTGAGCAAAACTGGAAACAGTGAAACCAATTAGGAGGCTGGTAGGATCATGTAGGCACCTGACCCAGAATAGTGATGGTGGAAATGTGGAGAAGTAGATGTATCTGAGAGCTATTTAGGAAAGAGACTTGATATTCTATTTGGTGATTGATTGAAAAGATACTTGGTGATTGATTGAAAGAGGAAGGGAACAAGGAAAGTTCTCAGATATCTGACTTGGGCAATAGTTAGGATGTCTTAGGGAACATAGGGGAGAAAACGCTTTTTTTTTCCCCCATTTTTTTTGGCAAGTTTATTTTGGGTTGTCTGACATGCACGTGGGTTTCCAATAGGTTGTTATTGTTGTTGTTGTTATGTGCCGTCGAGTCAGCCCTGACTCATAGAGACCCCTCCTTGGGTTTCCGAGGCAGTATCACTACTGAAGTAGGATTGCCCAACCTTCCTTCCGAGGAGTGGCTGGTGGGTTTGAACCGCCAGCCTTCTGGTTAGCAGTCAGGTGCCTTAGCCACTATGCTACCAGAGCTCCCGATAGGTAGTTAGATTTAAAGAGAGAGAGATTTGGACATGGCTGCTGGGAGTTGATACATTCATGCAAGAAGATGAACAGTTAGAATAGAATCCTGAGAAACTATTGGAGGGGCTGATAGAAGAAGAGAAGCCTGCAAAAGAGACTAAGAAAGGGTGGTCTTGAGGTCAAGGGAAACACTGTCACCAAATCCAAAAAGAAGGGGAGTGAGCACTGAAGTTCTCAAGGTGAAAAGTAGGATGAGAAGTGTCCTTTAGATTTAGCACCGAGGCCTTAGAAAATACAGTTCCAGTGGCCTAAGATATCAAGTAAAACCAAAAAAAAAAAAAAAACCACTGCCATCAAGTGGCTTCTAATTCATAACAACCCCCATTGGGTTTCTGAGGCAGTAAATCTTTACAGAGTAGATTGCCCTGTCTTCCTTCTGTGGAGTGGCTGGTGGGTTTGATTAGCCGTCAAATGTCTTAGGCACTGCACCACCAGAACTTCTTTATATCACTCAAGTAGATGATATAAATTAAGGAATATAAGGAATAGCAATACATATAAGGCTTCAGTAAAGTGACAGAATAGTTCTGCACAGGATGAAGGACATAGAGAGATCATTATTATTTACTTATAGCGTAATTTTGTCATGAATTAGTGTGCTTGGATTTGAGTACTTTCTAGCTTTGATTCAATTCTTGGTATTTAGGGAAATCCAAATGTTTCCTTACTGACGCCACACATCAACATGTCTGTTAATGTCATTAAATACTTTATAGTTTTATCAAGAGAAATGGCAGCAAATGATATACACAATCTGTAGTCTTTTGGAAAGATTACTAAACACAACGCATGTAGAGTACCTTTATTTTTCTATTTTTCAAATAATAATTTTTGAGACAGGGTTCTCAGACCTTAGAATCTATTAGTATGTAGCCATTACAATCCCTTGAGGGTTTTTAAAAACTGCCAATTCCTGGCCCCCATCCCACTAGCAACCATTACGTAGAGTCTCTGGAGTGAAGTCCACCCACTGGTGCTTTAGCACCTCCCACTGATCCTGGCACAGTGGTTGAGATCACTGTACTGTGAGTACAGTGAGCATCAGAGCCAATGTGGCCTCTGACCTCTTGGAGGTTGGGAGGGCATTAATTTTTTTTAATTATGTAAGTATTTAATTATAATTGGAAAAGTACTATGAAATGAAGAGTACAGAATTCTACGAAAGCATAAAACTGAACCTAGTGAAGAGGCATGTCCAAGAAAGTTTCCTAGAAGTACTATTTCAGTTGAACCTAAATGATGAACATGAATTATCTAGATAAAGAGGCAAAGAGAAGAAGTAAGTATTCCAGATACCAGTGGGATAAATGCCATACACTCCCCCTAAATAAATAATGATATTTTCCAGACATAAACAGGATACCTGGTCTGACAAAGGATGTTCCAACATAACGCTTATAGGAGACAATATGAATATGTAATTTGATTATGAAAATATTTTAACTTCTGGGACACCTGTGTAGTCTATGAAGATAACATATAGACTATTTCAAATTGAAAAAGTTCCAGAAAATTTCATATATTCTGTTGCCACAACCATGTCCATAACTGAAGCCCAAACAGTTGACTCTTGGACATAAGTGGAAACACACCCTTTACCAGATGAGTTCCTGCCCAGCCCTCATGAGTTTATATATCCCTGTTAAGTATCCAGTATGTGAAACTGAGTCTCTAAACTGCCTTTGTGGAACTGGAGCTCTTAATGTTTTTCATTCACTCTGGACAAGCTTGTGGTAGAACTTGCTCATCACTTGTGAAATAATATTATATGTTAAATGGAGCTAGTCATTAGTGATGAGCTTTACTTTGAGGTACTTTGATAAATTGTTCTTTTGTGATTAGAAAGTAAAAACATTATAGCTTACAGCTTTTTTGAACTTACTCTACAAATTTAAATGCAGTATACATTTCCTAAGTTTATTAGGTTGTATTGTAATTTAATTTTCCTTTGACATTCAGAAGAACAAGTTTAAACTGTACCCTTTTTCATTATCAGTAAGAATACTAATATAATTAACATAGATAATCCTAACCTGTAGGAACCTTTTAGTGGAAAATCGCTGTGTTCTTTTGAACTCAGGTCAGAAGCAGTTTTTATTTTATTTTGGTGAATTCCAAAGAAGTAGAAAGAATGATGTAATACTCTGTCTTTTACCTTCAGTTTGGTGTGTTGGTTTTTTATCTGGTTCCTCTGTGCTCCGTGGCAGAGAACTTACTTGTTTGCTTGACACCCTTACTGGTTTTCCTGCATTGATAGTAGTTTTCCACTGAGGGCTAGATGTAATTATTGACACTTGAAAAGCTGATTAATAGCCCCACTCTTGTGTGAAATAGCTTAGAAACCATTTGCACTAAAAAGATAATGCCTACTTTCCATCCCATAGCTTTTCATTATAAATGGTCATTATTTTACTTTAGGTATTCTCAGGAATTTTTCAAAATGCAAACTTGTTGTTTTCTCAGTCCAGAGAATGTGAGTTTCAAGAAGTTCTGTACTTGGACTGTTAACACTGGATGAATGGTTGTAATTGTTTAAATAAATCCCTGGACAGAACAATGGCTAAGAACTGAGACAGTTTCATGAAATAAAATACAATTTAAAATGGATAAAATATAAATATTTCAGACAGGAAAAGAGTTCCTGGTGTCTTTTTAAGTAAGCTGGTCTTTTATGCAAGAATCTAGGAAATCTAATTAACATATAAATATTTTTTAAAAAGTCTTTACTTGGTGGTTTGGGAAAAAATGTTAATTGTATTTAGTCTTGTGGTCTTCAGAGAGAATTTCACTAGCAAATAGCAAAGATGGTGATAGATTTTCAGAGACAATCCTACATAAAAAGCTGCCATTTTCCAAGAAAGATTCTTTTGTATGTGTACCATTTGGCTGTGGAGGTGGGTCATAAGGTTGGTATTCTTAT